AAGAAGAAGAAGAAGAAGAAGAAGAAGAAGAAGAAGAAGAAGAAGAAGAAGAAGAAGAAGAAGAAGAAGAAGAAGAAGAAGAAGAAGAAGAAGAAAAACCCTTGTACTTTTTCTATTTTCCTGACTTCTAAACACCCATCCTCTCTCCCATTTTTCTGATCCGAGAATGATGGAGTTCATGGCAAAGGCATGTTTCCGGAAATGGAGACATGCCTCTCAAACCCAAAAATGATTTATGTAAAGTTAAACATTCGGAAACCGGGTAGAAATCCAGAGTTAGGGGCATCTGTGCTTTCTTCATGACAACACACACAGAGAAAGGTTAAAAACCCGGTTCTGAAGCTTGTCTGGCTGTCCTCTATGCTACAGATGAAAGGCAGGGTGCAAAGCGCTGGGAACCTAAGAAAGTACGAAGGGACTCTAAAGCTAGGGGCCCATCCCCTAGCGGGCAGGGTTCTTCCCTCACCGTCCCTGGCTCTGCAACATGCTGCGATTTAGACATATGTGTGGGAGTGTTCAAGGGAGAAGAAGTCGAGAGGACAGAGCGCTCCCCACACGTGTCAGCCTGCCTCTCCCTGCTTCATAGCTTGCGTTCATTCATATGGATGCAGTAGTTAAATATTTGATCAGAGGTAGGAGAGTTACAAGGATCGGTTGTTCTTTAATGAGCACACCTTGGAATAGTGTGCGAGAGAGAAGATTTCCTAAGTGTAGCCCCCAAGTCTAACCCTTTCTCCCCTTCCCTCCCCCATCCCAGTCCCACCTCCTACCCACCAAAATAAAGGAATGCTTGCAGTAGATTGAAGAAAGATTTGAGTCGGGAGCTACAGAGAAAGGGATTAGGGCCAGAGCGGTGCAAGTTAAATTGCGCTGCATTTAAAAAAAAAAAAAATTAAAATGGGCGGATTGGTGTCCAGATCCAGTGGCTGGTACCACCTTCCTTTCTAAAATAAAATCTCTCTGGCATGAAGTCACCGCCTATTTCACATCCGGTTTGCGCTGGGACGTATTACTACTGTCTTGGTACAGAGAAATCTTTTGTTGTATAGCTGCAGATTGGATATTGGGAAGCAAATTTGGGTATGAAATCTCCAGTGCAGGAGCACGCAGAGCCCATGATGGCTCAGACCGAGTGAGTGAGCGCGGCGCGAGGACGCCCTCCGCCCGGCGCGCCCGCGCTCGCACACTCGCGCAGCTCTGGCTCACCGCGATCCTCTCTCCCACACTTTTCTCCCTGGTCTGGAGCGATCCGGTGCCCAGAGGGGGCCCCGAGGTAAGTGAGACTTTGGACCGCGAACACTCAGAGCTTGCAGCGTGCCTTGTCGTAGCTGGAGAGGCAGGGATGCTCTGGAGGGGAAGAGAGCAGGAGCCAGCAGGACAGGAGCTGAAGCTGGGAGCAGGTAGAAACAAGGAATGTTTTTCTTTCAGGGTGAAAACTGCAGCGATATTGGAGCAGGATTTTCTCTTCCTTCTCTTCTCTCTGAGGCAGATTTTAATGTACCCTGAGGGGTGGGTGGTGACATGCTGTTTTGATTTTTTTTTTTTTTTCTGGCCAAGGGGAGCTGGGGTGAGTTGGGGAGGGGCGCTGGGATTTGCCATCAGCTGAAGTTAAGAGGCTAGAACAGAAAACCTGTCACCCTCTTCCATCCTATGGAAGACTCGCTCACCCTGCTGGAACACTTCCCTTCTCCCTTATCCAGCACCCGCGGCTGAAATGCCCTCTGATATAGGGGTCTCTCTCATTCGGGGAATGAGAAGCTAAACTTACTTGATCTGGGTGGCAGGGGAGGTGGGTAGTGGAGCATGTGTCTGGCCAGGGGTAGCCTGGAGGTGGAGATGGGGAAAGAGACTGCTCCGTGCTCTCTTTTCAACTATTATGTTTGTATTCGCAAGAAACTTTCTTCCTCCACAGCTGAAGTGCCAGGGCAGGGTTGTTTTCCTCCAAATATCAAAAGCTATGGTGTCTGAGCTTGGGGTTCTGTTTCCTTCACCCCTTTAGGACTTTCTCCCTTTTCTAGAATCAATGGGAATTAATAGGGCCAAGAGAAGATATGTTGCTACTCAGAACACATGTTAATTTTCTTTTGAAAGGGTGAATTATCATTGTGTGATTTGGATCCAATATTTTAACTTAATGATATTTATCCAAGCTGTCTTGTCATATTCTACTCCTGTGTGTCCAAAGCAGCCACCGAATGAAGGAAAGCTAGGATGAAGCTCACAGTTCTTATCTACATCATTGCACTCTGAATCAATTCGGGCTCCTTGCTTACATGTCTGTTTGTGAGGGGTTTTACTGGTTGGCATGATCCCGGAGAGTGTGGAGAGCATTTTGTTGATGTGTTTAAAGGCATACCACATGGTACCTACAGAGTGCTCAATGTGAAAAAATAGGTTTTATAAGGCTTCCATCTATTCAACCCCGAATCTGCTAAAGAGTTAAGATTCAGGAAAGTGGTAAAAGAAAATACATGTGATAGTTTTCGTTGTAGGACAGGAATTAATTTCAGTGCATTTAAGTAACTATATCTGCTTCTTATCCAGGTAGTGCTCAGGGCATCAAAATATGGATCAATAAATATGTATATATGCACACATAATTATATGAATACATACAACACACACACATATATATTTATAAGTGCTCCATTCTATATTCCCTTTTTCTTGCAGTATCCCTCTAACCACAACCAAATTCAAAAATCAGTTAATGATTGATCGTACTTTACCTAAGTGGGAATAAATATCCTTTTCTTTCCATGCAAAGCAAACCACTTAAGCTTCCATCTGTTGGAGATGAAGCATTTCTAGCAGCAACCTGAAAGAAATTAGAGAATGCATACAAGATATGTGTGGGTATGTTTGTACGCATTAATGTGTGTGTGTGTGTGTGTGTGTGTGTGTGTGTGTGTCTGGGGGAGAGAGAGAGAGAAAGAGAGAGAGAGAGAGAGAGAGCACATGGCTTGACTATAAAGTGTACCTTTTAGCTTCATAGAAACATTAGTGGGCATATTTAACATCCACACAGAAGCACGACTTTGGCATTCAACAGTGTGTTTCGAATGGTTTTTAAAAAGAGGTAAATACAGTTGCTTCTGAAATCAAGGTACAGAGACGTATTCAGTCAACAGGAGGTATTAACCTACCACATCCCACCTACCTGCATGCTCTCCTGATAGAGACACCAAGCTAAAATCTTTCAATTATGGATTCTGCCACAAGGACCCAAATCACAAAGGTCAAATTTTTCAGATGATCAACAACAGCAGAAAGGAATCAGGCAGCAAGTAATGGAAATTTAAAAGCTATTTTAGAAACCAACTCACAGTTTTTGTGTTGAGCAATACTGTCACCTGAAAGCATTTCAACTTGTATTCTTTTTACAGGATAAACTAAAACACTGGTATATTTTTGAATGAAGAGATGGTAAGGAAGGTGGAGAGTGGATGGTCCAGGCTTCTATTGCTTCCAATGAGGTGTCATATTCCAGTGAGGTCATTTCCTGACTTCAAAGCATTCATCTGAACTGCCTCAGTCAGCCCTAGTGGTTATAACCTGATGTTTCTTGCAAGACACATTGATCTCTACTTATTCCACTTTTCAGTTGCACAAGTCCGTGATGAAGAAAAGTCCGGGTCTCTCTGACTATCTTTGGGCCTGGATCCTCGTTCTCAGCACTCTATCAGGAAGAAGGTGGGGGCACTTTATCTTAAATCTGCATGAAAATTTCTGTAATTTTACATTTATTCCATCAGGGGGAAGAGAATTGTCCATGGCTGAATTCATGACTAAGGGAATTAAGATAACTTAACTGCAACAGAATTTCAGCTAAGATTAAAGAATAGACTAGGACATGAAAAGAACTTTCTTATTAGAATGCTCGCTAGAATACACTTAAGAAGCTTCTTTAGGCTAGGAAATATCTGAATTCAACTTTTAAGGCTGAAATAGAACTTTGCAGTTTTTATTTGTAACTGAACAACAAAGCCTGTAGTTTCCTAATTTACAAAAAAAAGTTACTGGATTAATTTCTGCATGCCTTATAAATTGTAAATTAATTTTCCAACAAAAAATTCTAATCATTTGCAAAAATCATAGAGTAAGCTGTACAAACATGGGAGTAGAAAAGTTAAAATAATATTTATAACTTGAATGTCATGTCTATGAACATGTGCATATTGTATTATAAATAAAGATTGATAAACCAACAGAGATGCACTGTACCAGACGAATATTTTAAAATACTAGATAAAAATTAAACTGCGCTAATCAAGCATATGTACTAGGAAGACATGATGTGAATAAATTTCAGTAAGTTCAACTGACAAAAATATTTTCTAATTAACCAATCAAGAACATGAGATTAAAAAAATGAGATACCGTATTAGCAAATGACCAAATGGTTTATATTGTCTTTTATCTACTTAATGGCTTTTGATTAATCTATTCTTGTGCCTCATTGGAAGGTTCTCGTCAATATCCTAAAATTCTGAACTCCTTGAAATGTAATAGGGAATGAATATGAGTCAAAGTCAGGGGTATGAAGTCTTGGAAAGGCAGAGGTTTCAGAGAAATGGTTTTCAATGAGATTCTGACTGTGCTACATTTTAGCCTTATCATGTAAATAAATATCAGATGATACTTATATCAGATATACTGTCAGATACTCTGAATTTGAGGAGTTAAGTGATAACTGAATTCTGAAAAATTATATGAAGTGTTACTATTATAATGACCTGTAGGTGGAGTTAGTGCACAGCATTTTATTACAGAGTAGTTCATATGGAATCAAAAGCACGTTTAGTAACTGACATTTCTCTTCCAAATGCATATTCAGTTTAGGGTATTCTACATTGGTATTAGTATTCATATTTCCCAAAAAAAATCATCTTAATCTTTCTCCTGGGGTTCTTCTGTGTCAGTTGTATCTTTACATATGGAATTAGAAGTCAGCTTGAAGGGGAACCTGATTACAAAATCATAATAAATGAAGATTTCCATTCTGAATGGGATAGCAGGACTGGTCTTGCTGGGGAAGGGGTTGATCTCTTTGGTATTTGCATTCCAGTGCTAACAATTGTTGAAAGCAAGATTTGTAAGCTGAAAAGATTTCTTGCATTTTACATCAGCTCTGCAAACACGGGGAGCACAGATAAAGGTAACAGATACCAGGGATCCTGAGGGTTGTGTTAGCAGCCTAAACACCCTCTGATATCATCTTACCTCCTTTCCTCTCTAAAATTTATTGCTTTTTCCCTAAGAGTTTTCTCCAAAAAAAGAATTTGCTGAATTCTTAGGTGTGTTCATATTTCCTTCTCATCTTTATCAAGGTGACCTTCCAATGTCCTTGAAAGATGCATGGATGGCATTTGGTTTGTGGCAATGAATTTTTATAAATAATTCCTTTCAGAAAACTACTTTTTCCCTTTGCCTTACTGCTGTCATCTGCCCATGAGACGGGCGGGAAGTCACACGCTCTCTGAAAATTTGATTAAAAAAACAAACAAACAAACAAACAAACAAAATGAAACAGCAGGATGTTTAATTTTCTAAAGGAGAGTAAGTCCTCAATTGCCGGGACATGGCAGATAGATTAATGTTTAATTTAAGGGACTAAATATGATTTCATAGAAACAAATTTCATATATTTAATGTCACAGAGAACTTGAACTTAGTACTAGTGAATTTTTAAAACTCTATGAGCACAGTAGACACTGAAAGGACGTACAACTCAGTGAACGTCTATGCAGTTAAAACAGGCATTCAGAAAAGGAACGGTGACGATTCACATTAAATTTACCCTTTCACAATGAGTGTCCTTTATGCATTTATCCATCACAGAACTAGAAAAACTAAATATGTTTGTATCCTTCAAGGGGCCGTTATCTGCATTCAGGCCTTCCTTATTCCCTTCTATTTAGCCCAGATAATTGGGTGTGTCTTGTTTTTATTTGCAAGGTTTAAATAAAATCTTATAAAATTAAGAAAAAGAAAAGTGGTATTTGAACTTGGCGTATACAAAATTAGTAGCTTGTGAAACAGCATTTGTTTCTGAAGTGCTAATAGATTATATATGGTTATTATCAAATAAGTCAATCCTGGTTTAAAATGCCACTTTTTTACATATATTTTTAACTACGTAACTACACATGAGTAAAGCAAAAGAATAATAAAATTTAAATATGAAGTGTGTAGATATGTTACCCTTTCTTAGTTTTATACACTCTATCCACTTACTCTTTCCACTCAAGGTCAGAGCTTTCCCTGAATTCTGCCAGCAAGTGTATGCTCTTTCTAAGACATAAACTCCATCTCTCCATGGATTTTGAAAGTGTCACGCAAATCATTACATTAAAATAAGATTGAATTTTTATAGATAATAAAAGGATTGGTATAGGAAACACACAGTATACAAGGTATAACCTAAATGGTTGAAAACCAGAATCGAAACACTAAGGGATAGAACCCATATCCTCAAACAGGAAGACACAGGAATTGCTGTTCCTTTACAGAAAAATAAAGTGTTTTCTCAGAAGGTGAAGAAAACTGAGTTCTGGCCTGAGCTGTGCTCTTAAGTAGTGGCATCTTAAAACACAAGCCCAAGGTTTCGTGCACCTTGCAGCAAGAGTATTAACTTGACTTTTTTCATAATGGCCTACTACATCTAACCCCAGGAATGACCAAATTCAATCAAATAAAGGTTTAAATAAAATTTCAAAATTTGTTCATACATCTCAGGGGAATGAAAAATTTCCACGTTGATAAGTTATAATTAACATAATAAATCATTTGTATACCTTCCTTTCTTGAATATTTTAAATGGACAACCAAAAATTAAAAGCACAGAGTATGAAAAGGAAATTGGAAAAGGAAGTTTGGTAGGTGAAAAAAATACATATTTAATTTTTAAATAAACTTTTATATTAGTTTTATAACCCACATAGAGACGTATGCACATAGATAAACAAAAGTAATGTGGATGAAAGCCTCCAAGATGGCTTTTATAAAATGAGTTAATATCCTGGCTTGTTCAGGGAAGATATGTCTAAGACTCACTAACTTTAGAGAACTGAAAACGTAGACTTAGATCTCATTTTCTATATTAAAATTAAAAGTCCATCACCAATGAGACCACAGATGAGAAAGTGACAATTGTGTTATAATTACTTTCAAACTTGCAACAGCAAGGAAAGTAATAAAATCTGAGAAAGGCTTTGAATGGTAAGAGGTTTGGTGGAAATTTACAATTTTGTGCTCTTGTTTTCTTATTCTTTCCTCAGCTATGGACAGCCCTCCCAGGATGAACTTAAAGACAATACCACTGTCTTCACGAGGATTTTGGACCGACTGCTGGATGGTTATGACAATCGTTTGAGACCAGGGTTGGGAGGTAAGCTATACTCTCACACTATTCTTTAGAAAATTCAGTGTTATTAAATCTTGATTAGTATATCTCTGCTTTCTCTTCAAATGGTAACAAAAAATGTTAGCATACGATTGATTAATCCTATTTTAATAAATCACTAATCCAATTTACTAAGATAGTTTCTGCACATACATAAATATGTTGAAAGACAGACACAAATTCTTATATTTACACAGAAGATATGTATATATATACTCTTGACAAGCACAGTGTTTTTATTTCTCTGTCTAATGACTTGGTTATAGAAAAAGAAAGGTAATATTCTCCCATTTAGTATGATTTATCAGCTTCACCTGCACTGTTCTGCCTGTACTGAATTCTATCTCTGATTCTATGCTAGAAATATTTACTTTAGAAGATCATATATTCAATCATACCTTTGTGTTATATTACCCAATCTCTATGATCAAAGCTGAATAAGACAGATGGTAGTGTTTCATTTTTAAACGATACCTTTGAAAATATTTTATAATTTAATTTAGTAAAGTTGATGCTTCTTATAAAATAATTAATTGATTAATTTATTAAGGAATTTCTGTTAGGGAGAAAACAATGTTCAATTGTATGTATTTAATATTATATGCGCACTAGTGCCCACCAGAATTTGCATGCTGATTTGAATAATCCTTGAAAAAAATAACATACTACCTTACTGTGATTGAGTAAAGACTAATAAAGCCATGCCAAAATATTGATCTTAAACAAAACAAACAAAATGAAGAAAGAAACTGTGATTCAAAATCTCATGGGAAACTGACATATGACTCTTTGACTCCAATTTACAACCAAATTGTCACCTTTACAAAGAACAGAAATGTATAGTAATATTTAAGCAGCTATATGAAGAGTCACTTCTTATTAAGCTAGATAGAACAGATAAATGAAGCCGAACTTAAGAACTAAAGCACTGGTTTTCAAACAAACTGGTATCATGGATTTAGAATCATTCATTCAATCACTGTTCAGCGGTGGTACTGTAATGAAAGACATTGTAGATGCTAGTCATCTTCTCTCTACTCGTGAGCTATGTTTCAAGATCCAAAGTCTCTAAAAAAAAACCATATAGCTTGTATATTAGCATCACATGGACGGAAATCATGCTTCTATTTTAAAGCTGGCAAAAGTAATTATCGTTTCATATGTTAAGAGGAGAGTGCCTCACCAAAGTCACATCGGGGTGTATATACATACATACATACATACATACATACACATATATATATATACATATACTTATCAGGTGTACTATCTTATCAATTTCAAAAATTAATTTTGGACATGGTTTCTTCAGGTTTGGCCTGAACCTTGATTCTTTTAACTTCTTGGGGGAGTAAATAGTATTGCAAAGTTGCTGCATATAACGCCATGTACTCATAGACTCAGATACTAAGAGGTCTGAGAATGGAGGGTAGGCACATTATGTCTGATGCTCCAAAAACAGTCTAGGTGGATTAGGAAGCCTCTCTGTCAAGAAAAAGTCAAACCTTACATTTGAGATAAAATATTCATAAAATGGATAGCACAAATTGGTTCTTAATGTAAAAATATAATGTCGTTGTGTATCTAAGCATTTGGATTGATGCTAAGAAATTTGCTATCTTTGCAAACCATCTGAATAAATTGCAAAGACTAGAGATAAGGGATGTACAAATTGATGCAACCACTAGGTTATTGATACAAATTATAAAAAGAAAGGCTTCTAAAATTTCTGATACATATTTCCTTTACTTAATGTCCATCCTGTCTCAGGTCCAACCTTAGAGTAGGATAGACCTCATATGCCAATAGTTTAGGAAATCATATTTTTACCTTATTGTGTGTATGTAAATATCCTCTGAACGTTTTCATGTGACTTTCAATTTGCTAGAGAATTTTCTATAAATGCACACGTGCACACAGTTCCTCTAATCATCATTTGTGATTGTACTGTTATTAGAGTCTGAGTAACAAGGCATGACTGCTAATTTTCATTTAATTGTACATTCTAACTCCTTAATAAATGTTTTTGTACCTACACCTAAACCACAGAGAGCCGTGCATTGCGAACAGACAGCCTAAAGTACAAATTCAAAGTTAACCTTTGAGATCTATGACATTGAAAGATTTTCTTAAAGCAATAGCTACATTATCAGAATATTACCGTGTGTTCGTCTAGAACTGCTTAATCTCGGAAAATAGCAGAAGCAGACTTGTGGGTTAGAGAACAGAAATAATGGTTAATCTCACAAAGGTCAAGTATATTCTTATAAAGGAACAGAAACTCATGATTTAGAAATTTTTTTTTTAAAAATGAATGTGTTTTAATCTCTAGGAAAAAATTATTTTTCTTTATCTCATTCTTGAAAATGCTGACTTAAAGAATATGATGGTCATAAGAAACAAAGGAAAATATAGTAGAAATCTTGTTTCTGTTTCTATTTTAAATATTGGCTTGGAATGTAATGAAACCAAATGTCCAAGAGCTGAGTTTTTTTTTAAAAAAAAAAACTATAATATTGAATAACCTTATTTTTTTTTTACATTTTGATGGACAGTCCTAATTAATGGACAAGCAGCCATGCAACTGTTGTAGGATCAAAACAGTTTATGCACATTTTGATATTAAATATCTAGACAATAACAGTTAAAAGTTGACATTTTTATAATATAATCAGCTATGAGTTTTCAGAAAATAGTTAGCTCTGATAATGACTGGCTAAACTGAAATTATCTTATATTTTTAAGAATAAAATATTTAATTACATTATTTGCTATATATCCCATAATTTAAGAATGGTATGGTTACTAGGAAATTTCTGTAAAAAATGAGATTCTCACATTTATTATTATTATTTACAAAACTCATTTACTTCCAGAAGAAAAGAATATGTAAAGGAAGAGTCGAGGTTTTATCTTGCATGAAAACAAGGCAAAAACTTTCTAGTAGTTTGCTCATAGTTACATTTGACATAAACTTTCTCCTAGAAAGAAACCCTATTGTCTTCTTCATCATGTTTAAACAAAGTGAAAAACAGAGATGTTTCTTCTAAATACAGTCAGGAAATAGAGATATGGCAATGAAACTTAAGGTTGTGTAAGTAATTCTTCAATAGGCATATCCATTACGACATCTCCAGCTTTATTATTTTGGAGTGTACATCCGGATATAATTAGCAATGAAATTCAAGACTTGGTTGGTCCAGGTATTGGAAATCAGCTTTCAGACATTATAATACTAGTGTAAAAAGTTAGTCCCTGTCCCTGTTAGCACCAAGTATCAACTCAAGAAAGAGTAAATAGAAGTATAAAATGAGGAGAAATTTTCTGGTGGAGGCTGTTTTTTTTTAATATTGTTGTTTTTAAAAATGGGTGAACCAAAATAAATTAGAACATGTAGTACAGTACTAATTATTGAATGTCAAATGAACAAAAAATTAATGAGTCAGTGAAGTTCATACTTCACATAAAAATAAATGCAGAAAATTTGATTTAAAATTATAAATAGCTTGAAAATGTATAGACTCATCAATAATTACTGAATATTTTCTCATTTATAATCTCTTGTTTTTGTGGCAAGAGAACAAGAGACTCTTCTTGCAAGCAGAAAACTCAAAGTGTGATTGACTAACCTAAGTTCAAGACTAAAAGAGTTAAATAGTTGGGAAAATAAAGGTGAAAACCAGAGAGAGATGGAAAGATAAGAAAAGATAAAGTTCAAGAAGAAAGAAAGGGAAAGAGAGGCCAGGGATGGGACTGCAGTGTAGCAAGAAGCATCAGAATGGCGGAGAGGACTAGAGACAGTTCTGAAACAGAGGAGGACATGGGCACCGCCCAGAGACACACAACTTCTTATGTTTGTCTATAAACAGGACCAAATTGAATGTTCACAATAAATTGTTTTTTTTTAATACTTTTCTCTATATGTTAAAATATATTAAGGATGCCTGTGTGTTCTCAGATTTTCCCCAAACTAAGCAACGGTATAGACCTGGGTGAAATTGGATTTGTCTATATATAGACTTCATTCCAACTCTTGGAACTGTAAAAAATAATCCACAGGCAGTCACCAAATGTTTAATGCTGAAGAAATATTTCAGAGGTTCTAAGAAAAAGGGATACCTTGTCTCTACACCCCATCTTTTTTGTAGAGACCTCTTCCATTTTGTGGTATGCTTCAGTTCCACTGTGAACCAGACTGGCATATAGTGAACATATTGTACAGATATCCTCATTTTACCCTTTTCAAAACAAATCCTAGCAAATCCATGGTTCACTGTAATAGAAATGGGATGGAGCACAGGAGATAAAATATGGGTAAAGTCACAACTAAAGGACTTACAGAAACTCTTCATCCCTTCTTTTTTTTTTTGTCTCTGGTATTTCTTGGAAGTACTGTTAACTTCTAAATCTACTTTTACGTTTAATGATGTAACAAATAATGTAAGGAATGATGGATGGCTCTCAAAAGATTTTGTCACTAAACTACACAGATAAGGAAAGCCAAGGAAGGAGATGTGAGTCAATATTTTAGTGTTACAGGCCCAGCTGGGGGAGTAGAAAAGTAAAATGTATAGATACATAGAGTTTAATACAGTGAGTCTATCTCTGCTATATATGAAGAGTATTTAGTTAAATATTTAATATTTCTGTTATATGCATTGTTGTTTTAATTTCTTTGGTTCTGGTCTTGTTCCTTTTCTAAATAAAAATAAATAGGTTAATGGGAATTTAAGCATCTCTTTGTGTCATTAGCAATCTTAGATACACAAAATATTTTAGAAGTAGTAGGCTTAAGAGGTAATCTTTGCCTCTAGATATATGTACTGGATTGTTTTATGTCAACTTGATACAATATAGAATCAAGAATGTGGAATTAAGAATCTCAACCTAAAAAAAAATGCCCTCTAGATTAGTCTGTAGTCTGCCTGTTGTTCATTTTCTCAACTGATGATTGATATGGTGGAAGCCAGGTCACTATAACTGGC